GCTTTGAGTACTCCGTGAGAGTAGAAAAGCGCTATATAAGAATCAGTCCATTTACCATTTACCAGAATATTTAGTTCACAGAGGCATGAATTAATCAACAAAGTCCAACGCAGCAGTTTTTAGAAGTTGGCCTTGTAAGGATGTTTCTTTTACAGTTTTTATAGGTTTTAAAATGAAAATGAAGTTATATGAAATTTATTTTCAAAACTTTCCACTGATAGAGGCTTTTCACACAACCTGAGATAAAAGGAACAATGATAGCATGATCTTGTCTCCCCCTCATAGCCCAGTGGAGAACTGGGACCAGACAACACTCAGTCAGGTGGACCGCTTTCTCTTCTTCCTGCCTCAAGACAAACTGCAGCAGATTTCCCTGGTAAGTTTATTGCTGCACTTCTTTCAGTATTTAATACTTAATATCTGAACCCAGAGCCTGAATAGTTCCACATATTATTATTACTTTTTTCAAAGTGCAACACATTCGCTGAGTGTCCAGAAGTCCACAGTGGAGCTTTGTGTCAGAACTTGATCCAATGACATGTTAAGTCAGAGCCTGTAAAGAAATCTCTTGGGTGTCACATCTCCAAAAGGTGTCAAGATCAGGTGATGAGGTCACTGTCTTCCTGTAACCCATTCAAATGTGCGCGTTGCTGTCTGTGTGCCCGCAGGCATTGATGACTCTGGAGCGAATAGAGAAGCTGTTCATGAGCCACCATCAGTGGGAACGTGGGGACATCGGGATGCTGTGTTCAGATGAGACTGAGAGGAAGACCATATTTGAAAGGCAGCAGTTTGTTCTGCAGTTTTTCCTGGGCTTCCTTAAACTAAATTCTCAGTCATGTAAGCCTTACTTTGGTTTCCAAAATCTCTTACAATAACCTTGTATGGTTTTCATCAAATTTGGTGGGATTAAGATTTTCTTCAGTGAATGTAGCATTCTCTGCTGCCTTTGAAGTGTCACAAGACATGACATGGACCCATACAAGGGCTCTAGGGAGGAAGAGGTTCATATCAGTCTACAGAAAGCAGACTAGTTTAGTTAGCTTATGTTAGCATATACTCTTGAAAAAAGGTGAAACAGCCGGCAAAGATCTTTTAGTTCTGCAAAGAGCACTTTCAATTTTAATAACTTCAAGTAAAAAAAAGACATTTTAATTATGTGCAAAGGTGTTTCATGATCAACAGTCAAGTTGCCAAACAGTGAGGGGACATCCACTGTAAAATGTATGCAGCTAAAGAAGGAAAAACTGGATCGATTACAGTAAATGTTGCATTTTTTTTGGAAATCAAGGTCCTGAAGTCTGGAGAAAGAGAAATTTAGAAATTTCAGTATCGTAAATCTTTCTTTCATTGAGCTTGCATTTCTAATTTTCATGGGCTAAAAGCCATAATTAATAATAATTAATTTAACCAAAAAACATAATCAAACAAACACTTTCTCAATAGTTCACTTCCCACATAATTAATATAGAATATATGAAAGTTAGCCTTGTTTATTTAAAGTAGGAAATTACGAAAAAAAATCATCCACCTTTTCTTTCAACTTTTTATGCTATATAAAGTCTATATACTCTGTTATGCAGTCATATAGAGGGGAGGGGGGGATTAGTGGTAGGCAAACAGCATATTGAATGAAAAATAGGCAGTGGGGTAGTTAATATAGCTTTTTGATGCTCTCTATTTAGTATGAATAACGTAGTTAAGGTAGTGAGTGAATTGGAAATACGGAGTGATAATGTTTATCTTTTATTTATTATCCAATCACGTGACCAGGCTTGATGAAAAAAAAACGTTTTATCACCTCTAAGTAAAGACTGGAAAATGAACTGAAACAGTGGTCCAAAAAAACCAAGTTATTAACCCAACCATTGTTTTGGATGAAACTGTCATCCTTCTAAACATTGTTTGTATTATTGTCTTTTGGTACAGCTGAAAGCGCAATGCATTTGTGCGTATGAATTTCTTTGCAAATTGACTTTTGTAGCAGGAGAACTTGCTGATCTTCTAACAGTGAAAATTAGCTTCTTGAATTAAATTTTTCAGAAAGACTTTGGCTAATACTTTTCAGAAAACAAAAAAACTTGACAACTTCAAAACTAAGCCATGGTTATATTACATTGCTGACCCATTTTCATAGATAATCTCCTGATCATATGTTTGTGTGTGTTGCTGGCCAGTGACTCCAGTGGTTCCTACTTGTGAGATTCTGCATACAACAGCCCCCTCCGTTTGGCTCTCCAGCAGTTTGACTAGCATGCCTTCATCTGCCTTCTCCAACTGTCTGGAGCTGATGGGTCACGACGCGTTTCTTGCATCCTACCAACGCACTGAAGTGCTCAGGAGAGTCAAGCAGGTTAGACTGATTGTTAATCTGAATCAGTCCAACAAAAACCTCTTACATGTGTTTCATTTGATGATGGCCAAAGTTTACAGATCTTAATACTGTGTTTCTGCTCTGTCTTTGCTCCGGGCCTCTCTGTATTAACGTGAATATATGAAGATATATGGCCCAGTCTCATCCTTCTCCCAGGCTTTGATCTCTCAGCTCGGTGTAATAGCGACACAGCTATCATTAGACGAGCTGAATGCCATTCGACTGACTGAGCGGAGAAGCATCGCTGCTCTGGGCACAGTCAGTGACTGGAATAGCAGACAGGTAAGTACTTTAGCCACTGCAGTTCAAATATTTACATGTTACATCAAAATTGCTTTGTGTTTTGGGCAGTTTTTATTTCATCTGATAAGAATAATACCAGATGTGGCATTATTGTGCTGTATTAGACTGGTTTATAACTTGTTGTCGTCCTAGCTGGCCACACTGTTTTCCACCGTGTTAAACTCCACCAAGCAGAATCCGAGCCAGCTTGACTCCAGCACTCTGGTGGCAATGGGATACATTGTGTGTGGCGCTAAAGCCACAGAGCTGAGGTCTTTCAATCCTATAGAGCTCAGGTGCGCACAATATCGGAAAATGCTTAAATGAAGCGCTTTTTTTCAAGCCCAGCTTGACACTTGAATTTACTTTGTACTCTGTCTCCCTCTGATGGCTGCAGTAAGGCGCTTCTCAGGCTGGGTCGGCTGAGGCTGTCTTGCTCAGAGGAGCAGCTGCAAGCTCTTGTTGAACTGCTAACCCACAGCCTCGCTTTTGGACTCATGAGTTCCTGGGGCACCGATGTGTTCATTGAGATCGGAGTCCTGGCAGGTATTGTCTATTCATTGTCTTTTCCACATGAATTTTAGTTGTACTATGCATAGTCCTACATCTGCCTTAATGTGTGGTGAGAGATTTAAATCAAAGACATTTTGTTTTCCTCTAAGCTTTGCTGCAAAAGCATTTGATTCATTGTTTCTAGCACCCTTTGCTCCGTTTCACTGGAACATTTTGCTTGTTTTTCAGTGGGTATCCCAGACATGGCCATGTCAGCGCTGGTAAAAGAGCAAATTGAGGGAATCGCACCTTTGGCTATCTCAATGATGGCACCAAAAAAGTTTGCTGTGAGTACAGATTTAATTAAACCAACCATATCTTGGGTGTTAAACATAAAGCACGGGGGCCAGAAATGAACCAACAAAAACTCCGATCCGGCCAACTGAATGGCTTTAGAAAATGTGAAGGAGGAAATACTATTTTGGACTTTTAAATGTGTTTTAATAACTTTTACAGCAATTCCTGCTAGTGACAAACTCTCCCACAGCAATCCATACTACACCACAGTATATTATGTCAGAGATTAAACGGGTAGTAAACCTTCTTTTCACTGGCAGAAAGATTAGTTTCACTGGTCAGGGCCGATTATTGTAATATCAAGGTGAGCTAAACTACACTTACATATGTGTAAAAAGTCCATAATTTTTTAGTAACATTTGTTTTTTACAATAAAAAAAATGTATTCCTGTTTTTGCGTCCATCTTGACAAATCTTTATCATGTCTTTCATTTATCTCTCTAAATCTATTCCCCCGCTGTGTGTTTTGTTTTCAAAAGGTGGTATTCTCCCAGGAAAAGATCGCCATGTTCTCCTACGAGCAGGCTGTTGCAGTAACTGATAACCAGCGCTCTGTTCTGTCAGACCTCCAGAAAACAGCTCTAGCTATGGTGCTGACACCGTGGGACAATAAGCTTGTAGACTTCAGAGGTAAAACCTGAATCACTGCTGTCCACTGATAACCATTAAACTTGATTTGTCTTATTTATGCATTAATCGCTTTGCCTGATGAAAATATAATCGCCCTTATCAAAACTCTTACCAAAGTTTTATGCTAGTTTAGGTACATCTTGCTATTATCAGGTTGGATCCACTTTTGCCTTCAGAACTGCCTTACTTCTTAATTCCTCTGAGATTTTGCTCCATATTGACATGATAGCATCATACAGTTGCTCCAGATCTGCAGACTGCACAATCTCTTGTTCCACCACATCCCAAAGGTGCTCAATTGGATTGAGATCTGGTGTCTGTGGAGGGTGTCTTAGTGCAGTGAGCTCATTGTCATGCTCAAGAAACCAGTTTGAGAGGATTTCAGCTTTGTGACATGGTGCATTACACTGTGGTCATAATGGGATGAACATGACACATCAACAACAATACTCAGGTAGGCGTGCGTTGTTAAAACAATGCTTAGCTGGTACTAACCTGCCCAAAGTGTGCTACGTAAATATATCTATCACACCATTACACCACCAGCAGCAGCCTGAACTTTGAACACAGTGAACCAACAATCATTTTTGTGTTTCCATGCTTTTTAAGCCAAATTGTGACCCTCCAATCTGTTTGTCCAATTTTGGATGACCCAGTGTGAAATTTAGCCTCAGTTTTCTGTTCCTAGCTGACAAGAGTTGTTTTCTGCTCCTGTTGCCCATTTTTTCCACACACTTTGAGCCGCTTAGTACCATGTGAGCATCATTTAAACACCACAGTCTGACTGAGTACTGTTGCTCATTACATCCATCCCATTATGACCACAGTGTACAATCTTCTGATGGCAGTTTCCAGTAGGAGGAGTTCACCAGCTCTCAATCCAGTAGAACACCAGTGAGATGTGGTAAAACTGGAGAGTCGCATTATGGATGTGCAGCTAACAAATCTGCAGCAACTGTGTGATGCTATCACATCAGTATAAACCAAAATCTGTGGGGAATTAAGAATTAAGGCAGTTCTGAGGGCAAAAGGGGACCAAACCAGTACTAGCAAGCTATACCTAATAAAGTGACCTGTGAGTGTATAAATTATTACTGTAATTTGACTCCCAAAATCAAGGCTGACGATAGCTGCTGTTGTTTGCTTGCTGGTTTCAGCACTTTGTTCTCATTGTACTTCTAGATGTTTCCAGTGTGCTTTCTTTTCTAACAGAGATTATGAACATTATGCCTTGCTGGATATGCTATGCATGAATACTCTAGGTGTGAAGAGAGTGCCTACAGTGATATGATTGTCATTTTTCACTGTGATTATTTTTTTTGTTAATGATATTCTAAGTCAGATAATCTGCCTGAACTATATTTTTGCATAGCTCTACATTTGTAATGCTTTTGCTGAATTCCTGTAGGGAGGTCACTGGGCTTGGCGTTGAGCCACAGCCCCCTGTGTCTCTTATTGGGACTGCTGATGCTGCTGACCGTCCTGCTCTGCCCTGACACATGACCTCGTTCACCCCAGCCGAATCAGGAGATCCCCTCATCCACATGATGATTGTCTGTCTGAGCAATGCTGTATTTCTTTGAAATAAACAGCATTTAAAGCTTTCCGTACTCTTTTTAGCAACACTGTAATTGATCTTGCATAACTATTACTTTACCATCAACATTTAGCACTGAAAGAACAAAGTTAACAGTTTGAGAGAGTAAGAGCTGTTTGTTTTAATCAGCAAGTCTATCTAATACCCACAGATCCTAGACTATTTATTTATTTTTGTACAAACCTATCTAAACACTGTCCCATATATATCCTTCTCAGGGATGCCATACCTAGAAATAATACTTAAAAATGATAAAGGTTAGAATATAATTGTTGTTCAGTTATCATGAGAGAAATCTGTTGTACTTTGTACAACAGAGAAATCTGTTGTACAAAGTTATTTATTTTTGGGGAACTATAGGTTTATGTGAGTAATAGTGATAACACTTTCTATATATCTGTCTATTTTGAGTTATCTTGATTACAAAACAATACTTAGTAGGGCCTGATTGTATTAGTATTGATCAACTTTGATCTGTTGTTGCTGTGAGTTTTGTACTGTTGTGCACAATTGGTGGTGTGATTAAAATGAATCTAAATGATCAATAAACTGAACCAATCTACCTCTGATTGACTCTTTTTATTGCTTTATTGCTTGTTAACAGACCTGTGTAGTCTTACCCACAGTTGTGTTCACCATTCAAAAAGCATTTGACACTACAGATGACAGATTACTAAAGATAAAACCGGAGATAAGGGTATCAACGGGATGGCACATTCCTGGTTAAATAGCTACCACATTGATAGATATCACTGTGTGCAAATAAATAATAACTCCGGTTTCATTGTGAGGTTCAACAAGGAGGGCCCTAAATTGTTTATACCGTAGAATAAGTTTGGAATAGCTTCTGAATGCAGTTGAAATTAGCAATAAATCAGATCAAAACAAAGCTTATCATATTTTGTAACAGACAAATAAGGAATGAAGTCAAAATCATGATCAGTGATGATGAAACAGAAAGACTGTATGAAACTAGATTTTTTGCAATGGGTAATTGGATATTAATCACATTTACAAGGGTCGTATAAAGAATTCCTTTTCTTCTTTCGGATGCTTCATTTAGGGGTCGTACATCACTCTTATTTTTAAAAATGGGTGCTAGTACACTTCTTCTCCATCCCCTAGGCATCCTCTCACACTCTAATCTGGTCCACTGCCCCCTCTCCTGGATGTCTCCTCCACAGTTATGTCATCTGGACCAACTGGCTTTTCACTCTTCATCCTATTTATAGTTTTCCTTGCTTCCTCTTTACTAATCCTCTGCACTTCCTCATTCACTGTCCTCCATCCATCCTCAACTTTCTCTCATTTTCGTCATTCATGAGCTCCTCAAAGTAGCCTTTCCACTTTCTCAGCAAACTTTATTCATTACTACATTTCCATCTCTATCTCAATCACCCTAACCTGCTGCACATCCTTTCCAGCTCAACCTTGCTCCTTCAAAAATATTATTTATTTTAATATATCACTGAGGAATTATTGAGCACCATTTCCATTTCAATTCCCATCAATATCATACATCTGAGGCACTGCGCTTTCTCCACAAGAATGATTAAAAACTATTTTTCATGTATATACTTTATTATACTCCCTTATGAGATTCAGTTAAAATTAAGGCCATTAATTAATTATTTTTCTTCGATTAAAATAATATGTAGTGTATCCAAATGTATCCAAAAGAGATTAAGAATAGGTTTTGACTCTTTATGTAAGAATTATGTAAAATGTACTTTTAACACATTTTATTTTACAATGCTCGACTTAAAAATGTGTGGAACTTGGCTTCAGCTAGCTTGTAGCGTCTCATGTTTACAATTGAAATAAATAAAGGCGTGATGAGATTAGTTATATCGGGGTCGTTGTGCTGAAAGTGCTCCGTGGACGTTAGATAAGGCCGGAGTGCCGCCCAGAAGGTGGGAGCTGTTTCTGAACGTGGCCAACGGGCTGCAGCACTGACTGTACAGCGAGCCTGTCAAACACAAGCAACACAGCCAACATGGCGGACTGGGGTGAGAAACTAAGTTGGGAAGGATGGCTATCTGTACAACATTTACTTGTCGCACTCGCTGTTTTAAGGGCCTAATACACCACTCATTGTTAACTCCGGGTGTCAGATGTGGACTGACCTAACGACTCTCATGTTGTTGTTTTTACAGACGCTGACAACTTCGAGCCGGAGGAACCGATTAAAAAGGCGGCAGCGCTGGACAAATGGGAAGGCGAGGACGAAGATGAAGATGTTAAGGTACAATATCGTGACGAACACTCGGTACAGTCTGAGCCGCTTTTTAAAATCGGCCACCGGTTGTTTGCGAGCTGTTAGCTGACCGAGGAAGCGATAGGACGTAATGCCACGCTTCGTCGTGGTTTCTCGTCGCCTGTCAGTCCGAACCTCCGAACCCCTGTTAGCTTTATGCTAACTCATGTGGCTCCAACAGGCACCCTCTGGAAACTCTAGCTCAGCTAACGGTATGCTGGTATTCGAGTTTCAGTCATTCAAACGTATTGTTAACGAGCTGAATAATGACGTGCCAGTTCATACTTATGGGTTTAATCAAATTTTGGACGTTAGTAGTGTTTTCTACTTCTCTTGGTGTCATGAATTTTGATAGCGGTGCTTGAAGCAAATCTCTCACCGGACGGGCCACTTGAGCTAGCTAGTCTGCTAGCTCTCGTGTATTGTTGCGTCTGTAAATAAGCTTTAATGTTGGGTAACCTCAGTATTGAGTGATTTTTGTCATGTGTTCCTAATACATAGGTCCATCCCATTATTACACAGATTTAGTTACATTAAACGATTATTGGAGATTAGCATAATTATGTCTACTCTGGCAAACCCACAGCTTGAGTCACGTTGAGTATGAGGCGGCGTTAGCGTGCTAACCAACTTTAGCCCCATTCAGATGAAATCATCCACTGGGTTGATGACTCAACTCAGCCAAGAACTAGGCCTGGAACTTTCCGACTTTACAGCAGGCATTAGGCAGTAGGAAGCCGCTGTTCAGCTGATATCGTAATACAGGTGGCTGCTACGTGAAAGCTGGCACGGTCTCTGTCCAGAAGCCTCAGATAATTGATCCTGTGGAAAGTGCTGGCAGAGGCCTCTTCAGTTCTCCCGTTTTCTGTCGCATATGGCGTCCAGACTGAAGAGCCTGGTGGTTTTATGTCCTCTGTAGTACAAAATGGTCATTGTTTAGGAAGAAGGGTTAAGATATTTGTGGAAATCAGACAATAGCACAAAGTTAATTTTTACTCAAGATAATTACATTTATTCCCAGACGACTTTAATCCTGCTGCTGTTGTTGTTCATAACCTGCTGGAAATGCAACAGGCCTGTTGTCAAATGTTTATTGTGTAGTAATTCACAGTTTTAAATTAATAAATTAACACTGATGTCATAACTCGTAACTCATTGTCATGAATTACAGAATCTTAAGCTTTAAGGTTGTTATATTTTTTTTGATTCTTAACCACTGTTTAATATATACAAGTTCTGCATTATCACACAGTATTAAGCACTCACTGTGTGCATGTGGTACTTTTAATGTTTTAATTTTTTTAATGTAGACTGTACTATTTTTATTCTTTACCCCTGTACTGTAACACAGTTATTACCCTTGTTGGATCAGTAACATTGATCGATCCAGCTTATATACATCTGCACCAGTGTAATCAGGACTAGAATAATTTGAAATAGAGGTAGAACAAAAGTTATTCATCTTCAGAAAATGAAGTGGCAGCTGTTGCATATCGATAACTGATAATTTTATGTTTTAAAAAGTTTTGATTTTTTGTTATTTTAAAATAAAAATTCTGACTGATTGCAGCCTTTGAACTAACTTACATTCTTAAAGTTGTCTAGCTCTGTAGGTGTTAAGATGTTGCTCAGAAAAAAATGTTATTGTTATTGTTTGTTTTTGGTTATATTGTACATTTTTGGCTATATATTTACATCTTCTAGCATACATATTAATAAAAAGGCAACAATTACACACATTACGTTCTGTGTGTTCACAGGACAACTGGGACGATGATGAAGAAGATGAAGAGAAAAAAACAGATGTGAAGAAACCAGGTTTGTATTCCAGTACCGCTTGCCTTTCACTAATGGATTATACTTGATTACTGAATGATTTTATGTTATGTTATGTCATTATTTTAATTTGCAGAACCAAAAGTTTCTGAAAAGAAAAAGCTTAGTGAAAAGATAAAAGAGAAAGAAAACCGGATGAAGAAGAAACAACAGGAGGCGGTGGAACAGCAAGAAGTAAGTCCCACTTTCTCATCTGTAAACCTTTTGACTCTATGCTCGTTTATCTCTAATATCTTAACTCTTACATTTTTATTTACAGGAAGACGAGCTCACTCCTGAAGAACAGCTGGCAGAAAAATTAAGAGTGAAGAAATTACAGGAAGACGCAGACTTGGAGCTAGCAAAAGATGCTTTTGGTAAGACCGGATCAGGTGTAGAAACTTTTTATCAAGAATATGAGGTCTTCCACAAAATCAAGTTGTGTAACTGATGCAATACATTTAGTTTGCAATACATTAGTCGCTGTTGCTTGTAGTTAACATTTAACTAAGACTTAAAAGGCTTAAATACTTCTTTGGCTTCTACGTTTTACACAGATGTCCCAGTAATCCAGCTGTAGAGGCCACATACTATACCTCACCTCCAAAGGAACAATGCACCATTTTATTATCTGTAAAATGTTTAGAGTAGACTCTAAAAGCTGAAGCTTTAAGTAAGATCTTTACACATGTTTTAGGAAAGCTGTGATTTGAGGAAAATATTTGTTTTCTGCTCTTGATGCTGTAGACTCTGTGTTTTTTAAACTGCAGCATGTCTAACAAAAGTATATACTACAGATATGGGATTTTTGAGACGTGATATTGTTCATCTTTTTGTGATCAATGTATGTAATGGTGACCTTTAAATATTCTTCAGGTGTTGGCAGCACTTCAAACAGTGTCACTGGAATTGATGCCATGTGTCCATCTTCCAAAGAAGACTTCACAGAGTTTGAAAAAATGCTAAAAGAAAAGATAACCCAGTTTGAAAAATCTGTGCATTATTCAAGTTTCTTGGAGTCATTGTTTCGGGAACTTTGTATTTCATGTAAGTCTTTTTTTTTCCTGCTTTTACTGAACATTTTTTATTACAATTGTCTTAAATTTAAAATGCACTGGGCTTGTCCAATAACTACTTATTTTTCTTCCTCTTACAGTGGAAGTAGATGACTTGAAGAAAATCAGTAATTCCCTGTCAGTCCTACTTAGTGAAAAACAGAAACAAGAAAAAGTAAGTGACTGCATGCTTGTATTTTTTAAGTTAATTAAGTTTCTATTCAGCAGGGGGTGCTACTCACCCAATACTTACTCGATGTCCAATCATAAAAAAGTAAACTCTGGCAAACGTTTGTAGTTATATAGTCGTTTCCAAGTATGTATGTATTTAGTTTAAGTCGCTTTTATTTGCCTTCTACAGCAAAACAAAGGAAAAAAGAAGAAGAAGGGGGTCTTAGCTGGAGGTGGTTTGAAAGCACAGCTCAAAGATGACCTTGACTATGCAGCGTTTGATGGAGGCTACGCCCAAGACTATGAGGACTTCATGTGACACTGGCTTCATCACTACTGCCCTTTCCCCTTCTCCCGACTGTCAGAAATGCAGCTGTACCTTCTCATGCTGTCCAGTGCCATCCTGGAAAATCTGAACTGTGTCTTGACCCCTTCATTTTGCTTCAGTGACCAGAGGGACTATACCAGGAAGCATCCAGTCTCACCACTCACGTTTTTTTTCTTCTTCTTCTTTTCTCCTTCCATGCAAATGGAATTGCCTTTTCTCTCTCATTCAGCCTCAACTCACAAACAAATCACGCGGAATCGGTTGCTCGACCCAGCTACAATGGAGAATACTACCATAACTGCTGTTATCTGAGTTTTGCAGGGCTTGTTTTTTGTTTTGTTTTTTTTGTTTCTTTTTAAATTAAATGTTGCTCCTGTCAAAATGTCAGATACAGTTATTGCAGTTATAAGTCTAGTGACATAGAAACACATGGTTCTATGCAAATCCTTTAAACAGAATGTCATGTATATATTATAGGTCTCACTTACCTGTGGATGATTTTCTTACAGGCAAGTGTATATAGTATCTATAACTTCAGTTGCCAAATGCAGACAATTATTCAGTCCATTATTCATCTTTATTTCTGGAAAGGTTGCATTGTGGGAGACTGACGCAACATGAACGTAGTAGTTGTAAGCTTGCAGAGAGCACACAACATTCACTGTAAGATAAAAGGGATAGAGAAGTATAATAAATGTGACTTTAAAACCTCACAGCCATTCTCTTGATATCTCTGGAATATCCTTGAAAATATGGAGCAAACAGTACTTAGTTTTGTTTGTTTGTTTTGTTTTTTGTGCATGACAGAAACTTACTAATTGATTTCTACTAATGCAAAAAAGTATGGATCAGGCAAGTGGATTAACTTGCTACAACTGGTCTCCTAATTGTTGCTTCTGCAGGCTTGTATCAAGTGTGATGAGGAGCGGGGGCTTATGGGCTTCACCCCACCATGTCTTCATATGGGCTACAGTTGGCTGAAAGGAGAGTTTTTCTCCTGTCTTTTTTTTTTCTTTTTAAGCAGTTGACCAGTTTAAATGTTACATGGACAATTGGATACATACAATGTGGAAGATACAGCATCTGCAGTGTTTTATAAGCATCTAATTTAATAAATCACTGGTCAAAAAAATATTGTTTTTGTCCTTGTTTATAGTACAGTTGGAAAGATGATAATACTTGTGTAATAAATACTCTATTTACATTTTCAAGTAAATATTTGCCACAGTAATGTAAAGTGAGAGGAAGAAACATTACATATTCCTTGAGATGAAGATGCAAGAAATTAGCATAACAGTTTAGTTACTCTTCAAGTGGGGGTGGGGGATATTTATGGATGGATAAACCAAAACATGTTAACACCATCTGGTTTCATTTTAGCAAGTCATCGTCTGGTCTTCGTGATGTTCCTAGGTCTCCTCTTGTCTAGTTTCTGGCTTTTGTACGTTTTCCCTCAGGGTTTCTGGTGCTACGTCTACGACTGCTGCGTGGTGCGTTTGCCCTCTGCCGGCGCCGGTTCTGCCTGCTTTCCCCTCTCACGATGCTTGTTCCTACTGTCTGACCTTGAGAGCGCTGCATTGTTTGAAAGACGTTCTGGCGTGTAACCTCACGGTCTCCGCAGGTAAACGTTAGCGCTATGCCCTCATTGGTTTTCATGACCCGAGATGTGCCGTCAGAGGTACCATCAAAGCAGCGGCCAAGTGCAATCTCTTTGGCTGTGCGGGGATCCTGGTCTGTCACCGTATAAATTCCGTAGTTATGGCCCAGAGGGTCAAGAGGCGCCAGCATGGTGAACTCATTGGTGTCGTTGTTGACAGCTAGGGGCAGGTGGTTGACTAAATACTCCTGAAGCATTGAGTTGACATGATCTCTCTTGCAGCTTCCTTGTGGGATCACCTTCACCAGTGTACGATCTACACGTTCCTGATCGTACAGCATCCCACTGCACTTGAATTCCAGACACACTGCTGAAACAGATGTCTGGTCCATGTCGCGAATGCTGCGAGTGTCTCGAAGGCCGTACAACTGGCCTACGGTCTTGGGATGGGTACCGCCCATGTTGCGGGACCGCACATTGATCTCATGCGGGCTGTTGATTTTGACCTTGATGTAGCAGGCCCGGTATTCCATAGGCTTGGGCCACCAACTTAGGTAATCCTCCGTCCAGCTCATGGGGTCATCTTCATTAAAGGGCACTGTGTTGTAATCATAGCGATCTCCTTCGACTCTTGAGAACCGGAAGTGTGCTGCACTAAATGGGGCCTCCTCACATTCTTTCAAGTTCTCAAATGGGTACACTGGTCCGTTACCTTCCTCGGCTGTGTTGGGGCTTGGTTTTGCTACGTTGATGCTGAACGCTGTCTTCTTCACTCTGGGGTCCTCGTGGTCAGATCGCATGTAGTTTAGTTTACCAAGGTAAGGCTGAGGCACTCCAATGAGGTTGGGATTGAATTTGGGAGCAGACGGGACAGCTTCCAGTTCCTCTCCACCGAGGTTGGCCATGACATAGGCAGTATAGGCGTCAGCTTTTTGTTCATCGCAGAAAGCAGGAAGACAGGCTCCACTGGGACCAGTGACCACACTATCAAATCGGCCCCAGGCACGCGGATTGGTGGAGTAGCCAGCTTTGGGCTCCATATTTATGAGACTGATCACAACTCCTTCCACCTGCTCGCTGGGCATGAACCGTTCACTGCGGAAAGCCCGCACTTTCACATAACACCTGCGGTTCTCTGGGACGTCCAAGTTAAACAGTCGCCTTTCTCTGATCTCCATGTTACCAATCAAAAATGTTCTCTCCTCCCTTTTGCCTCTTTTCTTCTTCTCCACCTGCAGACTCCCTTCCTCCTCCCACAGACCAGTTTCAGGGTTCAGTGACCACAGCTTCATGGTGTTGAGGTGCTCTGACATCTGAACCTGAGCAGAGTCCAGTGAAACCTTTACTTCACCTGCATTCAGTGGCTCATTGTTTTCTTCACCTCTAAAGTCAACTGAAAACATGCCATAGGTCCTCAGTGGCATGGTATCACCTTCATCTCCGATAAAATTTAGATCACTTTGAGCTGCCGCAGCTGTGGAGATGTCTCTGGGGTCGAGAAATGTTACACTAGCACTGACGTTACCCGTGAAGACTTCGCCATTTTCCTTGTAGAAGGAATAGGGAGGAATCTGGATTTGAACCATTGGCTCCTGGCTCTCTACCTCCCCAAGCTCAAGTGTATTGGTTTCTGTGGAGCTGATTGTCACAGGGGCTTTTTTTCTGAGAAGTTTTATCTCATGGTAAACAGCCCCACCTTTGGTGTTAAATGGAAGCACTTTTGTGGTGTTGACAAATTTCTGCATGTTGTCCATGAAGGTTAATACTAGCCTCTCTGTATCTTCGGGGACTTGGATAGAGAAGGTTCCTTTGTAGCCTGTACGACTAATTCTGACTCCATTCATAAAAATATGACCAAACCGCATTGGTTCTCCATTGTCTGCAGCAATGGCCCTACCATGCACAATGGCCTTAGTGTCCACACATTTCTGGCAGCCACACTCGGTTACCACCATGGTGGGCAGTTGGTAGCCCTGACATGTTAGCTGTCTTTCCTCCATTTTTGCCACACCGCAGCAATAAGCCACTTTGTCTTTGCACCTGATACCATTGTCGAGTTGTTCAGCACATCTACTTGGGGGACACTTGCCCACATCGTAGTAGAATGAGTTGGTACTGTTTTGGAAGCAGTCGTGTGGAAGGCGGATGAGGTGGGATTCAGGTTTAGGGTTGCATGAATGCTCATCTCTGCCTGTGTTTAGATGAAGAAATTAAAATGATTTCGTTTGTGTATACTAAAATTCTCACTTCTGTGTATTCAGCACGTGTTTTCACTTAATTAATACTGCACCTAAGATTCTGAGAGTAGCTGTTTTAGTCTTAATGGCTCCAGTTGGACCACTTGCTCTGCAGTAGTATTCTCCAGACTGCTCTGGATGCAGATCTCTTATGACCAAGGTGCTTTCTGACTCCTTCTCCATGAGAGTGTTATTGTGAAACCTGTTGGTTGACAAAACAAATGAAATGATTCAATAGGAGTTCAACATGTCTACTGTCTAAAATTCCAATATAATTAGTCCTACCATTGGTATGCATCCGGCTGTGGCGTTCCTGCAACTTTGCAGCAGAAGGCAGCACTTTGTCCTGCCCTCCTGACCTTGCTTTCAGGATTGCTCAACACATGAAGTTTCTCTAAAAAACAGAAATAAAATATTACTTCTACATGTTAAACAGATTGTACTTTAGTAAATATGCAGCTCAGAATTATTCTTTCATATTTGGATCCACAAGTAATTCTATAGACATCTACCGGCTCTTTTTAGCTGGACACTGAGGACAGAGGTGCGCTCACTGCTCTTGGGCACAACAACATCAAGGGGGGCATGGCCCTTGAGCCTGACAGTCAGGGTTGTGTTGCCATCAGGGCAGATATTGGGTATGCGGAAATGTCCGTTGTGGTCTGTAAGGGTAAGGAATTTGCCAGAGCGAAGGATGGCGGCCCCTTCGGCGGCGAGACCACCAGCGCTGCGTACAGAACCCAACATTGTGTGTTCTTCACACATGCATTCACAGTCAGAGTTTGCTTGCCCCATCACACACTGCAGGGAACAAGCTAAGGAGTAACATAAAAACAAACAAAAGTTTATTAGTTACAAATTTGTAATTGCATATATGTGCTATGTTATTATCTCTGTAGCCTAATTAAGCCTTTTTTTCACCTGTCTTTGGGCACTCAGGTCCATTACATGCTTTCCCATCTAATTTTGGCCCACTGCACGGCAGCGAGTCAGATTGACAGTTTCGATAGCGAATTTGCACCCCCACTTGGCCACAGAGGGCAGGACATGGGCTCCAGTCTGACCATGGCCCCCAGGTTCCCTGAATGTTAATACTGTTATGTGCTGGGGAAAAAACAAACAAAATTTATAGAAGTACTCTGAAAAGTAATTTTACTTAGCTTATGAAAAAAAAATTTAATAAACAGAAAAAGAGATCTTTTGTACTGCACAGAGGCAAACAGAAAAAAAAATGTTCATGGCCAAACCTTTTGGACATAGGAAACGGACTGCATAGTTGGAGCAGTTGAGCTGGGGACCTTGCTCTTCATTCAGGCACCAGAAGCCCACAGTCGGGTCTGCATGGACCGTCTCCCCAGTTTCACGCGCTGGGATCCATTCAGTGGTTCTGGCTTCGATTGCCTTTGGAGTTTCGCATACACGGGTACGGTAATAGAAACGAATGGCATCCAGCTGTTCATAATCTCCACGGCCTCCAGGATGATCAACATTGAACCATGTCGACCACTGATAGTTATCTATGTGCAAAGAGAGTGCGGAAATAAATGTGGTCCTAATAGCACCTCATAGTTACAGTGCTTAACATATCTCATAAAACTTAAGACGAAAACTTAAGCAGAAAGAACACTTTATATCATTCAGAAAATTTATTGGATTTTTAAGAAACAAAAAGTTACCTTCTGTTTGGTAGACAGCAGAACTAGACTTTTTGCCACTTTGTCTCCATGATCCTGCAAAGGACATATCGCAAACATTTGATTAGCTCATGTCACGTTTGTCATGGCGATGTAATGTTCCAAATTGACAGAAGATGGCGCTAAACATATTTTAAAAACTTGAGCTTTTATGCATTAAATCTAGCTTTACAGACATAGAGTTACATCTATGTCAGTTTTTGAGAACAGGGCTCAGTAGTGTCAATTTGCCTTTATACATGTAATGTTTCATTTCCACTTAAGTGGAAAACTTAAGTTTAAGTTAAAACTTAATTATTAACTTAATTAAAATGTATTTAAAAAATTAAAAACTTTATTAAACAGCCCATAAGAATGGGAAAGAAAGATTATTTAAGTGAGTTTGAGTGTGGATGTTGGTGCCAGAGTAAGAGACCATGCAGTGATTTTTACTGCGGAATCAGTTTTGTGTTTAGTACAGTGCCTGTTGAAAGACTAAACATCACAGACATTTGAGCAGTGGTTTTGGCCAGAGATTTCTCCACATTCTGTCAATGTTCTTACAGACTCCAGATGAAACACCCAAATTCTTTGTAATTTTATGTTGAGAAACGTTGTTCTGAACTGTTTCCCATGCAGTCTTTCACAGAGTTGTCAAGCTTTCCGGCCCCCCCATCTTTAGTTGTGAAAGACTCTGCCTCTAGTTTTTTTTTTTAGTACCCAATCACTGACCAGTTGCAGTTTAAACTACACACCACATGTTTTTAGCATTACTGAACTTGGCAGTCATGTCCTTTTTTTTTTTCAAACATTTCGCTTTCATCAATGTTTCTTTGTTTTTTTCCCGCACAAAACTTTGAAAAACGTTTACGATTTGATACATTGTCATCAATCAAATGGTTTGTAAATCGCTGCACTCTATACTCTTTACACGGCATTATGATGCGCGAATGCGTGTCCGCTGTGATGCTTTGTAACTTTTCTTTAATCATCTTTTTACTCAAATGCTGACAAAATGAGCTTTTTGTGAGAGACCCACCTTGAGCTGTAACAACAGTGGCTGCAGTGATTCCCAAGAAAATGAACAGACACCTCAGCGACATTTTCACACTCTTCTGCCACGTTCGACACTTGAACTTTTACCCCTGGTATGTGTGCTTCTCACAAGGAACTTCAGTGGAAAAAAAAGTGTTTCATGTTAGCAGCGTTTGATAAAACCATCCAAATTTTAAAATATGTATTGACACTCAAACTGACTTATTGCATTAGCTGCCAAAAGTAATAAAATATTAGTTCATGTTTAGATTGAAAATTTGTCCTTAAGTATATTCACCATTATACATTTGATCTTTTTAGCTTTTAGGATGAAAAAAAAAACCCAAACACGGCTGGACAGAGCCCCCCTTCCCCCTCAGATTACACATCTGTGTTAGTCATCAGTATTTGTCAGGGGAACACTCAAACATTTGTGCATCCACTGTCGAAACACTGGCCTCACCGTCCAAATCTCCACACAGAAGGTTCAGAGTAGCACACTTTAAAAATTGTACACTGCAGACTAATTTGTCACCTTTGCTTGTAAGATGAAAGAACAGAGAGAGCGTTAATGAAACAACACGTTAGTTAGGCTTGAGATGGATGTGTTGAAGGAAATGAAGAAAAAAAGACTAATAGTGAAACTCGTATCAGCAAGACTAACCCGGAATAAGGCCACAGGTAAGGCACCTGATTCCAGTCACAAATGGCACTAGTTAAATTCCAAGCTCTGGAATTTGAATAAACCCTCCACTTTCTGTAACATAATCAACCAACATCGGCCATAAGTACAGCTGCTCACTTTGATGTAGTGTTGCCACATCTCTGTGCAGCCTCAGCAGTTAGTAACAGACTTGTGATGCATGAATTTGTGTAGCCCAGTAAACTGATTTTTACTTACCTCTCTCTGTTTTCAGCTTAGTTTTTGTTTCCCTCTTAGAATGTCCTTCTTTTCTCTCCCGTTATACTTCTGTTTCACATTTCTTTCCTCCTCCTCAGTTCTTCCCTCCTCTGGTTCAACACACACTCCTTCATGTCTCCTTTATACCTCTTCCCTCTTTGCCTCAGCCAACACCCCCTCCCCTCCCTCTGTGGCAGCGTGCCACAGTATCATTTGATTGCACTAATATCTTTATAATTCATCACATTTCTTATAAAAGCCATGACACACAACAGCTATTATATAGTCTTACATATAAAAGATGGGAAATTCAGAGGTTCTGACCAACACATGCTGGTGTTAATAAAATCGATCCCCGTGCCCAAGATCAATGCTTTCACGGTCAATCTGAGCATTTGTCCTCTGCTCTGCTCTCAGTCTGCATGCTTCCTTCTTAAGAGAGCCGGGGATTCAGATACTCCACATCAACTTTATAATCTTGTGATAGGCACAAGAAATAAAAAAAAAAAGCATTTGTAGCAATTAGAAATTCAGATTTTGACCATTCGAAGAAGACAAAATCTTCAGTTATACTTTTTTTTTTGTTTTACTCTCAGATGTGAAGCAGATTTGAGTGAATTAATTGTTTGCATGTGCATTTATCTCCATTTTGTTGTGTAATCAGTGAGCAACCTCTGGGCAGTGCCCCTGGACCAGCTGCTGCCTAGATCAAGGACACAGTGAGAGGAGAATTAAGGCAGCAAGTTTTTGTTGGCAGAGGAAACTAAATGAAACCTAAACAGGTGCTGTCAAATGCAGGCTTGGATTACTTATCTGTATGGATTACGTACTACTAACTGAAGTTTTGGTTATTTTGTACAAGGTGAGAATAATAACATTTAGAAATGCACATTTAAAAAAAAACATCTTATGACTCAGCAACCAAACAGCTGCTTATAGACACATGTACTCAGGAAGCAGCAACATTTTACTGTTCATTTATTTCCTGACCTAGTGAATGTACAGTCTGGGGGCCCGTTTTTGGTCTCTACAAAGTCCTGAGGGACAAGTCTAGCTCTTTAACTGCTAAATGCTCCACTATGTTCACCAGATAGCTGCTACCTTTGACTGGTGTTTGGTATTTAGAGCTTTTCCAGACAAAAGACAAAACAGCTGCTGGCTGAAACAACAAAAAAGCTCTGCAGAGATGAGCTGGAGATAACACTGAATTGCTCATCACTATTAAAAACATAGATTTACGCAGTGTTTTTTCCCCCTCAGTGACGTTAAACCAGACAAAGAGGCACAGAGTCACAGAGCGAGCTAGAGGAGCAAAGTCCGTCATGTCTGTTAGAAATCCTGTAAAATTGTCAGTATCTGTTGTTTTTCCACAGAACATTTATTAGCTGACGTCTTTTTGTCAATTACAAGGCAAAGAACAACCTGCAGCGGAAGAATTTAACCAGGTCCTGCACCACAGGCCTCAGGCCAGGTAAAAGGACAAATGCCAGTGGCAAAATTTGGTCAACTGCTTATTACATAAAACACATACAGTCGCATGTCTGTGAGCACAGGGTTCTCCGGAGGTGAAAACCCCCCCAACACAATCAGGTTCAACAACCTTGAAGCTTCATGTTTAGTTTCCACCAATTACTGACTTTCCTTTGCAGAGGTGCTTTGGTTTAGGGAGAGAAAATAAGCGTCAGCGTGGTCAAGTTTGGAGGCAGATAAAGGGCCAAAGCAATGCTCTGCCTTTGTTTACGTGTAGAAAAGGCACTCATGGAAAAATAGCGTATTCATCGACACGGTCGAGTGAGCGTGAAAATCTGAAATTGATGTAACGTGGCTGTATTTACAATACTTTTCACTAAAACAAATTTATACTCTGGTTAAGCGTAATAAATATCAATCACATATTTGCCAGAAACTTAGACACCAGCCACCACTTTCACTAAAGAGGTTTTTAGTAAAGACAACTTTATGGCACTTTATGACAAATGAACTTTGTGTCTTTATAAACGAAAGGACAGAAGAGGCGAGTAATGACTTCATGGGAGGAAAAGTGACTGAATAAGCAAACACACAAAGTCAGGTTTCCAGGCAACAGAAACATCTACAGCAAAACTGCAGACACTGCAATCTTGTTGGGCAGAGTTTGTGGAATTACATCAAATGAGACAGGTTGTTTTTATGAAGTGAGGATGAGGCTGATCCTCATCACACTTTATTCAAGCTGCACTGTGCCAAGGCAGACGGTTGTTTACCATCAGGATGGCATTAACTCAGCCTCTGGCAAGATCTCCCATCAACAGGCCATTAAATATCTGTTACAGTTTACATTTTGTAAACAAATGGAAATTTGTTTTATCCGCCAGTCGTTTTATTAATTATTTAAAGTCATGTGAAAACGAAAGTTTGTGCAATACTGTGAGAAAAACCTTTTGTTAGGAATTATGTAGCAGCTGCTACCCAAATGCACTTTCATCAGCAAGTCTGAGCACCTCTATAAAAGCAAAAGTTTTAGTGGTTGGTCTGGAGGTTTCAGTTGTGGGTTACCACAAATGCACACTCTTCCCAGGATCAGCATCCCAGAAAAATCACCCCCAGGTCAGATTGTGCAATGTTCAAAGAAATTGCAAAGAAAGCCAGGAGCTACATCTCAGACTCTACACTGAAGCTAAAACACACTCTTAAAAAAGTTTTGCTGTGAGAAAGCCTCTTAAAAAAACAACATGGCAGAACAGCGTATGTTTGCAAAGTTGGATCTGAAGAACCCACAAGACTTCTGGAACCACATGTTTAGGGATAACAAAACATTACAGCACATCAGCACAATCACCTCATCGCCTCATCAAGCATGGTGATGGAGGGGAGATGATTTGGGTTTGTTTTGCAACCACAGGACACGGGCACCTTGTAGTCATTGAGTCCACTGTGGACTCCTCCGTATATCAGAGTATTCTAGAGTCAAATATAAGGTCATCTGTCCAAAAAATAAACCAAACTGGGGTTACGTAACAGGACAATGATCCAAAGTAAAGCAAGCATCAAATCTATAACAGTGGTATAGAGAAGTCATACGGAAAACTATTATCTCAAGTTAATGCTGCTAAATTTGATTCTATAAGCTACTGAATCACAGGCTGTACTTAGAGAACTGTGACAACTTTCTTTTTCACATGACTGAAAAAACTGCATTTTTATTCTGTGATCATCATTGGTTTAATTTTGGTCTTTTATTGGTGACTCGTCTTTTGTCTTTGGTCTGTGATGGAAAACAGATTGAAGCACTTTACTTAACTATATCCATTTCATATATATACTTAAGTATATATATGAAATGGATACCTTCATATCAGACAACTATAGTCACTGGATACATTTTAAATTGCATTTTTAAACATAAGCTAAATAAATCCCAAATGGTAAGCAGTCAAAGCTTTTGACATTTGATAGCAGAGGTATTAGTGTAGCAGTGGATACTACAGCAGTATAAATTCCTGCATTGTTTGTGGTTAACAGACTGTTTTAGCCCCCGTAGGATACATGCCAATCATCCAAATGGGGGGAGGCGGGTTGCATTCTTTCCTGATAATAAATATGTAGGTTCTTACTGGCAGCTCTACACCATTGTTATACAACCTTAGAACATCCTAAACTGACACACCATCAATTACAGGACTGAAGTCTCAGGAGATAGGGTTGTAAAGCCAGAAATATAGAGAGAACATACAACACTAAACTCCTTCCTCTACAGTCAAAATACGTGATCGCAACAAATTTGCGCTGCAACTGGAGCTATAGAACCCCAAAGAGCTCACAGGTCAGATAAGTTTCAGTATAAAGTCTTCAATTTAGATACTGATTCGCCTGCAAAACTTAAGTGTAAAATTTAACATTACTAACAATTTGATGATCAGGCATCATCAGGACATAAAAATAATATTAATATTAATATGTATATAGATTATTATAATTCCTACTGCACTTTATGTACATACAAAAAGGAAAACCTTGGTGTTATTTACTGAATATATTAACCATCTGAACATTTGGCTTTTTTAAAAAAAATCATTATTTATTATTATTATTATTACCAGTCTGCCCCCTCCCTTTTTTATTGTTTTCTAATGCATCTCTAATTCCTCCTGTCTCCTGTGCTGCTGTAACAAGCAAATTTCCCCAGTGTTGGGTTAAATAAAGTTTATGTCTTTGTCTATGTAGCTTCACAGAGGAAATTCCACTAGTGGTGGAAAATAACCAAGTGAAGTAAAATGTAGCATTTGTATAGGAAGAGGTAAATGCAATTATTATCAAAGTGAAGCCCACACTGATGCATCAATTACAGATCAATAAAATAGCTCACATCGTTCTACACAATGCACAGATTTTCCTATTGTTTCCTTCTTCAGCCACACTTTAATTTATTCACTAAAGAATTGGTTAAATTTCAGAAGCAAGATAAGATAAAAAAATAATCTAAGTGATGTGATTGGTTAATAATGGCACAGCATTAACATCCACACATCATTTTGAATCCTTGACCTGTGATGGAATATAAAGACTGAAGACCTTCCTTCTCCATCAACGCTGAAACTTTAGTTACTCTGGGCTTTAAACCTGGTGCTATATTCAGTAAATGATGAATGAAGGCATCAGTTATTTTAATCTAATCCCAAAACACAAAACCATCTTTTGTGAGAAACCCCCTAAATCATTCTATCAGGAATTGTTGGTTTTCATCAGAGATGTAGTTTTTGTGCTCTCTGATGATGCTGAGCTTTCTCCAAAGTCAAATGTGTCTTCTAAAGGTTTTAAAATCTTGATTTTCTTGAGTTTCAACCACTTTTTTTCCAGAAGGAAGTAGAGTGGGCTCTCTCTCCCTCTGTTTGATGCCGGGCCCCTAATGACAGAAGCAGAAGCTGCTCTGCATATTTTCACTGGTAGAGTCATTAAAGGGACCAGTAGCGCCCACCCCCTCCCCCCAGTGCTCTCTGCTTAACCTCTGTTTCCTTGCTGTCCTGTCTGCTTTCGTAACGTACAGTCTGTCTACAAGACACACAAGTCTCTTCTGTTTCAGTACACTAAATTACTCACCGCTCTGCGGATTAAAGGAAAGTCCTGAAACAATACTCACATGCCTGTTTGCACTTGGA